AATTGGGATGGGAGTGTCAGAGACAGTGCGATTGGCACAGGACAGAGCGGAGTTTAGGGCTGTTGTACATAGGGTCACTATGAGTTGCAAGTGACTCAACGGCACATAACAGCAACAACATAACAGTTGCCCAAGCCACACACTGTGCCCCTAGCCATCAGGGCCCAGGCACCTCACAGGTTACAAGAACAATGTCCTTGGGTTTATTTAATTCAATTTAATGGCTCCCAGAACTCATGGAACTGTTGTTTGTGTTACAGTTGTTATGTGCAATCAAGTCAAATACAACTCATAGCAACCCTCTGCACAGTAGCTCTGAACCCTGCCCTATCCTGAGCCAGCATCACACTCTAACTACCCCAGTTACTGTGGCACTACATCTCATCCCTGGGCTTCCTTTCCTGTGCTGTCCCTCCACTCTTTCAAGCATAATGGCTTTCTCCAAGGACTGGTCCCTCCTGGCAGCATGCCGAAAGTATTTTAGACCAAGCCTCAAAATTCTTGCCTCCAAGGAACAACTTGGTTTCATCCTTCACAAGACAGACCTATTTGTTTTCTTAGCGATCTATGGTATATTCAATACTTCAGTACTCTTCTCCAGCACCAGAACTCAAAGGCATTGATTATTCTTCTGTCATCTTCAATCATTGTCCAGCTCTATGATGTACAGCAATAAATTACGAAGACCTGGATCAAGTCACCTCTAGTCCCAAAACTGACATCATTGCTCTTCAGTGCTCTACAGAGGTCCCCGAAAGCAGATTTTCCTAATGCACTTTGTCTTTTGACTTCCTGACTGCTGGTGTGAAGAGAATTGATTGTGGAACAAAGCAAGCTGAAATTGTGAACAATCTCAGTCCCTTCTCCATCTATCATAGTGCTGTCAATTGGTCCAGTGGTGAGAATCTGTTTTCTTGATGTTGTTTCAATCCATGTTCAAGACTGTCGTCTTTGACCTTCTGCAGCAAATTTAAGAGAATTTAAATCAGGACCCTCAAACAAGGTTTGAGAGGCTTCCTAGTTTTAACACTGTTACATCTCTAGGGAGAGCCCCATCTCCATTCCACAACAGATAGCTGTCGCTCTCTTTCTGTCCTTTGTGATAGGATAAATCCTGTCTCCTGAGGCTAAGTAATCCCCACTCCCTAGCCATGGTGTGTCTGGCAAGTTCCCAAACAAGAGCCCTGATTATTCGTAGGGCATTTCCCCAGATTCAGTGACAAAGGCAGGCTTGCACAGAGTAAAATTAATCCTTAACTGCCCAGAAACACAGAAAAGTGCAGATGTTGGCCTTACCAGGAATATTGACTTCTTGCTGAAACCAGTGAGTTACAGGAAAACCAAAAGTTAGTTTCAATGACTAAGAAAATCGTTGTTTACCAAGCTAAGACTTGTCAAGTGCTATGGGTACAGAATAGAGATTATAACAAGCAAGGAATTATCCTGACCCTTACGTTGTAGGCAACACAGAAAATAAGCAAATATGTGTTTAAAAAAAAAAAAGGAAAAGACTCCAACTTAAAACAACCCAGTAGGTAAGGGTAGAATTGCTGTGTAGAGTTTGCAAAGCTGTAATCTTACCCCTGTAGACCGTCTTGTTACTATGTAGTATGGAGTTGGAACCGTCCCATAGCTGACAGCCCAGTAGGCCCAGTAGGTTTTCAGAGGCAGTAAATTGGGAGGAGATTTGCCTTTTCTCCCCTGGAGCATCTGGTGGATTCAAACCTAGTGCCTTTGGGTTGATAGTTTAGCTCCTTACCAGTAAACCACCAGAGTTCTTTGGTGAGAGTCTAGTGGGTCCAAAGCGGCGACCTTGTGTTTAGGAGCCGAGTGCTTTATCACTGCTGTTTACTCACACGTTGCTTTTCTGTGCCATCTGGAATGTTAAGGGATAAGGCAGTGGGTCGTGACCCTTGTGTTCTCTGCTGTATCAATGCTCTGTAAAGACTTTTTCAGTGATTGAAACTAACTTCTGGTTTTCCTGCTCCATCAGGGCTCCACGTATGACTTTACAGAATAGAAATTTATTAGTATTCTGGAGACAGGAAGTCTAAATCAGGGTTGTCACTCTGCCAATTCCTTCTCTGGGCCTCTCTTCCAATTTCTGATGATTGCCCATCTTTTGCTGCTTGTAGATGGATCTTCTAGCTTAACCCTGTGTATGTCACTGTGTCTGTAAGATACTACTCTGAAAGGAGATTGAGTGTTCTGGTGGCATAATCCACAGCAGGTTTCACTGCTAACACAAAGGCTGCATGGCTGGTGGCTCCCATCCACCAGCAGCTTCTCAGGGGAACGATTGTTGGCCTCCTCCCTTTTGATTTACAGCCTCAGAAACCCACTGAAGGATCAGCTATGAGTCAGAACTGATTGAACAGCGGTGAGAATGAGTGACAAACAGGATTAGGATTAGGACGCACTGT